CCTACACCTGAATTACCTTCTACAGATCCTGTATGTATTACTCTAAAGTCCCCACTCCAGAAGTCTCCAGCTTCGGGCCAACGGACTTCACTTATACCTACTATATCTAATTCTAATCTATCCATCTCTATTTTTAAATTTTCTAATTTCCCTACCTGCCTCATTGACCTAACATTCCACGCTCCGACTCGTGAAACATTGCACCTATCCCTATTGCACTTATTGATGACATCCCCCGAGGTAGTCCCCGCCCGGACATCCGAATGGGGGACTAGTTTACGTCCGGAGTGCTTTACCCCAGAGGACGCCATCATTTAATATATAATTTGTACGTTGTACTCGGGATCATAATGGGGTGGTTTCCCGTTGCCTTCCACATCGTAGTATTGTGCATCAGAGTGCCATACCGATCCTCGTGATCTCTGCCACCCTGAATATTGAAAGAGCTGCTGCCCTCTTTCAGGGACTTGTCTTAGTCTGGTTTCTCTTTAAGAACCCCTCCATTATGGTTGAATCTATGGTCCGGCTCCTTAAATCATCGAAACTTGCAAGCCGATCCACCCACTCTAGTTTGTACAAGAGTTTCGTCAAGGTTCATGTCCCGTCGGATCGGTATTTCATAAAGTTCAGAGGGCTGCGCTATTGCAGTCTTCCTGTTACCCAATTTAAATATATCTGATATAAGGCTCGCTATAGCGAACAGAATGAGACTCGTTCTAGTAAAGAAAACATGTTACCAAATGAAGAAAACATTGAATCTGCCACTGCACGAAAGCAAACTCATGTCCATAAAATTTTTATCGATATGATATCTGAAAATTTTACTGCTTTAATGAGTGAGTGTATTTTTTCTTGATATTTCGTCAGGAATGGATAGAAAACCATTTTGGTGGTACAAAGGAGTCAGTTTCATTTGCTCAAAATAATGATATTCCCGAAAACTGCGATAACAGCATCGTGTTTAATAACACATCTAATAATAGTAGTCAACTATCTAACAAAAGCACAGAGAATATAACCAGAAATGAAGAGAATAAATTACAATCACCTGAAATTCCCATTGCTGATGAAATTGTTGCACTTGATATTCCTGTTAATAGTTTGCAAAATATATGTGAAGTAAGCCATTACAATAAATTTCCACTTCTTCCAATTTTAAATACAGTATTGTACCAAAACCAATATTGGAGAAAAAAAGCGCTTTATTTATAAAGGTGTAGGTAAAAGACCCAGTTATTGACACTGGCCCAGTTTCTGACAATTTTAGGTTTATGTTGAATTAAAAAAAAGAAAAGATCTTAAGTGGGTTAATAAATTTTTTAAAAATTAAAATAAATTTATTCTGTACCTAATTAATGACNTGAAGGTGAATTTGAATGGGTAAATGACATTTACTCCATCGATATTGATAAAATTTCAGATAATGGAAAATATGGGTACATATTCGAAATTGATGCACATTATCCAAGCACACTTCATAAAACACATAAGGATTTACCATTACTTCCAGAACATTTAGTTCCTCCAACATCTACATCAAAAACACCTAAACTATTAACAACCCTTTTTGATAAAAAAAAATATATCATTCACTATAAAAATTTAAAACAAGCTTTAAATTTAGGAATCAAAATTCAAAAAATACATAGAATATTAAAATTTAAACAATCTTGTTGGTTAAAAAAATATGTTGACCTGAATACGAACTTAAGAAAGGCTAGCAAAAATGAGTTTGAAAAAAACTTTTACAAACTAATGAATAATGCAGTTTTTGGTAAAACAATAGAAAATGTACGAAAATATAAAGATATCAAATTAGTAACAAAATGGTCTGGAAGATTTGGAGCCAATTATTATATATCTCAACCAAATTTTCACAGTAGCATAGTTTTTGACGATAGTATTGTAATCATTGAGATGAATAGGTTAAATATAAAATTTAATAAACCGATATATGTAGGATTTTCGATACTTGACATTTCAAAAACTGTATTATACGACTTTCATTACAATTATATTCAAAGGAAATTTTCTCATTCGGCTAAACTACTTTACACTGATACAGATTCACTTATTTACCAATTCTTTGTAGACGACATTTACCAACACATAAAGAGCGACCTGCATAAATTCGATACATCAGACTATCCTGAAAACAATATATACCACATACCTTTAACAAATAAGAAAGTGCTTGGTTTAATGAAAGATGAAAATAATGGTAAAATTTTTGAGGAGTTTATCGGTCTCAGATCGAAAATGTATGCCATAAAACTTTTTTGTACTAAAACAGAAATTAACGAAGTAATTAAAAAAGATGAAGATAGCGTGGTAAAAAAAGCTAAAGGAATAACAAAAGCGCCACTTAAGAAAATTACGTTTGATGATTATTTTAAATGTCTGTTTCACAACAAATTAGTAGAGATTAATCAAAACGTAATTATTTCAAAGAAACATAATGTATATACAGTTAAACAACGTAAACTTGCACTCAGTCCTTATGATGATAAAAGAATAGTAAACGCATTAACAACGGATACGTATCCATGGGGATATAATTTTAGATAATTTTTAGACTGCTAAGTATAAAGCATAATTTATATAAAAAGAAATTAATCATATATTTATGTATATAATATGTTTCAAAACAAGTGTATCGTTTGCTTGTATATAGGTACCTTCGCATATTTATTGTAAGGTTTGTTGTATGTCTTCGAATACGTAAAACTAAGTGTTAATAAATAAATTTAACTGTAATTGAATGTATAAAATAAATTATCTCTATTCCTGTTTCATTTATGGGTAAAGTAAAGATAAAATGAGACATGTTTTATATATGACAAAATACATATGTATGCATGTATGTATAGATAACTGTAATACGATGTAAAAAATAAGTTATTTTTGCTTCTCTTTCTTTTTATGACTAAAGTGCTGATAAAACGAGATGAACCATGGTTACAGTTATTTTACCAATAAAAGAATTTCCAAAGTCTACGTTGGAGGGAAAGTTCAAGTTTAAACTGGCATAGCCTTGTCCACGCTCCGTTTTGTTTCGACATTCTTGCGACATCTATCGAAAACATTCAATAGACAAAAAACAGTAGCTGCAAATTACACACACACACACACACACACACACACACACACACACACACACACACACACACACACACACACACACACACACNGGATGAAAGTAAAATTAGCAGCTCAAGTTATGAGTAGTACTGTGGCTGCTAGTTTAAACACATACATTGCACTAAATGAACTTCCTGCCACAGCGATGGCAACTGCAGTATTTATTTCTAAAATTGACAAACTGTTCGACCTTTTGAATTCTTACACTTTTAACGCCCGCAAAACGAAGAATAAACCCCTCACAGGTGCTGAATATCAACTAAATTTCCTCCATGAGATGCTACATTTTTTCAAGAATATGAGGGTTTACAAAAACGAAAAAAATGTCACCAATATGATGAGATTTATAAAGGGATGGCAAATTACTATCCGCAGTATTCTGTCTCTGTGGGATACATTAAAATCGAAGAAATCGTTCTTATGTGTAATATGACAACACAGCGGAAATGCATTCAATTTACTCGATCATTTAAAAAGTTATTTTGTTTAAATTATTTTAATTATGTTGATGGATGCAATTGTATTGACGATTTAGATGATATTTTAAGTAACATAGATGTAAGTAGTTCTAAGTGTAAGGTAGTTGTAAGTGCAGAATCCCCTAAAACACATTTTTTTGACTTAAAAGATCCGGACTATTACAAACTAAATTTACCATTACACAATGCTGTAACGTATGTCAGTGGGTATTTTTTAAAAAAATGTTTTGAAAAACATACATGTCATTTGTGCGTGACAACGTTATTGGAAGACAACTTAGCTTCAAGTAATATATATACAAATTTTAGGGTTTTTGATGATACAAGTACTTCCAATTTTGGTAAGTTAATTGTTCCTAAGGAACAATTTGTAGAATATATCAAGCAGTTGGACACGTTGTTTTGTAAGGAGTTTTCTTCCATTTCTGTTGGTGACCATATTGGACAATTATTAAAAGAAAAATTATCAACAATTCCCTACCATTTTGCATGTCCACATTTTCCTACTGATTATTTCTTNTTAAGATTCAGTGTTAAATTACAAAATAAATTTAAATTCTCACTCGACAAAACGCAAGATTATCGAGAGAGTTAGTATTTATAACAAAGTAACTGTCGATTGTTTCCAGTTGAGATGGAAAGAAAATTTTTACTTTAATTTTGGTTATTTTATAATTATTAACACTTACTTTTTATATGCATAGTTCTGTTCGAAACATATTAAAGTTATTCCCACGATCCCAACTCTAGTATGTACTTAGATCCCATCTCTAATTAGGAATGCGCAGTAACTTGCGCGAAGTTCATTTAAAATCAAAAACATCAAAGTACCGCTGCGAAGTGAAACTACTGTATAGAGTTTATACTGTGATAATAGGTAACATGCAGGCATCAGCATTCGGTTAGCGTACGGGCAGGGTTTATGATATATTGTGAGCGTGTACTTTAGGTATCAGTGTAACGGAAAATTGTGTTCGCCGAATTAGTCATGGCGGATAGCGAAGCTGGGCCCTCCGGCGCAAGTAGAAACAAAGGGGCTAAAAGACGATACTATTTTAATACAGCATCAGATGAAAAAGAGTTGGATAGAGCTCTTTTTGAGTCAGATGATGAGGATTTCTTAGATGATGAATTGAGGGCGATGGATTCCGATGATGACAATATTCCGGAGGGTGAATTATCCGACCACAGTGAGGTGGAGACGTCGGAAGAAGTTGTGAGTGGTCCTCATCATTCTGAAAACTGTGGAGACCCTGGACAACAACCATTATCTGCCGCGACATCTATCGCACCTGTTACAGGTGCTAAACGAGCCAAACTAGCGCAACCCCAAACCTTGTGCTGGTCTGCGGATACGTCCAAGATGCAAAAAATTAACTTTACTAGACATATGGAATTTATTGTTGTGCCAGACGGTAACATACAGTTTATTTTATTTTTTTGATTGGGCTATATTTCAAGCTTTGTAATTTTTGCAGATAAAAGCCCGATCGATTTCTTCAATACTTTGGTGGATGAGAATTTTTACAGGTTAATTGCAGAAGAAATCAATAGGTATGCGGAGGAAATCTATCGTGCTTCGTTAATGTCACCATCGGCGCGAATTACTCGCTGGCGCGAAGTTACCATCGATGAATTACGCGTTTCCTTTGGCATATTTTTGCATATGGGAACTATAGCTACCAATCGTCTGCAAGATTATTGGAAGACGTCAAGGCTATTTGGCATTCCTTTCTTTGCAAAATCTATGAGCAGAGATAGATTTCTATTGATAATGAGGTAAACTGTTGCATTTATTTTGTATTCTTTTCTTATAAATGTATCTCAGATGCCTTCATTTCGCTCGTAATCCTGGAGAGGACGATCGCCAGCCTGAAGACCGTCTATTTAAAATTAAACCCCTAATTGTTTATTTTAATAATAAAATGGAAGAGATCTATTACACTGATAAGAATCTCTCCCTAGACCTGTGGCGTGGAAGACTGTCTTTCCGTCAATACATAAAAAATAAGAGACATAAGTATGGGATAAAATTATATGTATTGACGGAACCTGACGGTACCATTTTAAAGTTTGCTGTTTACACTGGACAGCTTCATGATTTTGGGGGCAAGGGTCATGCTGCAAATGTGGTCCTTCATTTGATGGAAGGGCTCCTTGATGTTGGCCAAGCAGTTTACATGGATAGTTATTATAATAGTTACGACCTTGCCACCAAATTGCTGCGTCGCCAAACTTATTATACTTATTTATTGTTATTTCAGTTGAGGTGAAAACGCAGAAACTAAAAAAAGGAGAAACTGTGTTTCGATGCAGTGGGGAAGGGGTGGATGAAAACAGAGTAGTGTTTACGAGAGACATGTTTTTAGATTAATGAAACAAGAACAAGGTGAAAAATTTGAAAAATTTTTAGCAAGGTTACGACGACAAAGTTCAAAATGTAAATTTACTGATGAAAATCAAAATCTTACTGATCAAATAACCGAGAAGTGCCTTTCTGCAGAATTAAGAAAGAAAATACTTTTATTAGGAGACACAGTAACAGTAGATAAATTAATAACTGAAGCAAATGCCCTTGAAACCGTTGAAAGACAATTAAACGATTTCAATGAAAAATCAAGTGGTGGTATAAATAGAGTCGAAGACAAAATGAAGAAATTTGGCACGGAGAAGCAGATCGCATGTAGTAGATGTGGTAGCACGAATCATAAAAGTGATAGTAGCCGATGTCCAGCCAAAGATAAAATCTGCAGTAAATGTGGTTACAGGGGGCATTTTCAAAAGCAATGCAGGACGAAGGCTAACAAACGTAAAAATAATACTCAGTTAAACCCAACAACTAACTATTATAAGAAATCAAAGGTTGGTTCAACTGACAAACCACATACTGCAATTGATTACATTTTCCACATGGACGATGACTCTATAGTCAACTGCCAGTTAGGCGGAGTAACTGTACAGATGCTTATTGACTCAGGAGGTAAATGCAATATTATCAGCGATAAAACCTGGGAGCACCTTAAAAGGAGTAAGGTTATAGTGTCAAATCAGCAGAAAGATCCGGATAAAATATTACAAGCTTACGGGGCTAAAAACCCATTACAAATAATTGGATCATTTGAGGTAAAAATAACAATAGGAACTAATAATTCTGAAGCCACATTCTACGTCATATGCAATGGGTCGAGGAATCTGCTAGGGAAAGAAACGGCCATTCGTTTAAAAGTATTAAAGCTAGGATACAATGCTAATTTGGTGAGTGAAGCTCCGTTTCCCAAGTTTAAAGCGGTACAGTTGGAGGTTGCTATTGGTAAAGCTGTTAGACCAATTTGTCAACCGTACAGACAGGTACNAAAATTAAATACATTTTAATTTGTAATATGAATTTAATTTTGCCAATAACCGACTAGTTGTTTTTTCTAATATTTATTTTGTATTATAAGAGCAACGTTTCGACTACTGTAAGTCATCCTCAGGCTAAAAAATATATATATATAATTACAATTTTGTTAAAATCTTAATTAATGACTGAATAACATTAATATCACATTGTTAAAACAAATTATAGTGTAGTATAATAATTGGTTTGAAATAAATTACCTTAAGTTATTAAAATTAAAATAACTAATTTCACCGACAAAATTAAATTCTACATACATAAATAAAATTAAATACACTTTTTTTTATGTGTAAATTCAAGTGTGATGAATTGATTCACCTGTATTACCTAATAAAAAATGTAGAAACTATAATGATAGGAAACGTTAGGAATTCATTTCCTTTAACGAACTGAATGAATCAGAAATTGCATCTTGAATCAGAAAATCCGTTGGCCGTGGAATTTATGTACCGTAGACGATAAGTATTGCAAAGGTTTATGTTAGGGTTTCCAAATAACTAGGCTGTTCAAAGTTCGAAGAAAACAAGTAACGGAAATTAATGAAAGACTGTAGGTTGAGAACTATCAGCCATTGAACCAACTTTACATATGATTGGTTCTATAGATGATGGAGGGAAGTATGCGAAGGCACAAAAAGGGAAAAACTTGAAAAATTGGCAGTTGACGCTATCCCGCTTATCCCAATATACTATTACAAGAATAGGTCTTTTATTAAAGGTATTATAACAATAGACGATATGAGAAAGAGAGGGAGGAAAGACAGAGAAACGAAGGGAATAAATAAAACAACCAAATTAGGAAATATTAGGTCACTTCCTACTTGCTATTTGAAAACGATAGACACAACATGTCGGCGTTATTGGCCATAACTGAAAAAAAAACCTTTGGGCGTTTCATTCCCACCAGCCAGTAATGATGGCATTCCCTCCGGACTACGCCGGAAGGTAGGGCGGAAGGCCCCCTTCAGCCTGCTTTCAGGAATCGTGGGAATGGGTGGGTGGTGGTGGTTCGGGTGAGACGGATGAAACGAAGACAGAAGTGAATTAAAGATAACTGTGGAATTTGCATTTGCCTAAGTGATCCAAGGAAACCACAGAAAAACTTGGACCAAGTCAGACGGACCCGGAATCGAACCGGCGTCCTCCCGAAAGCAATGCTCTAAACACCATAACTGCTATCGCTACCCTTTATAATGCAAGCTTATTATTTTCGAGACCTAACGACTCTCAAGAAGTGTTTGTTTGCTTCCAATTTGACCGTGAATTATTATCGCCGGCACACCTACGTGTTCATGGTCGGTTAATTGGAGTAGGGCTCTACCATTCTATGTATACAAAACCAACATATTTAGATATAACAACGTAACAGGAAATAACGTTAAAATGCGTTATATTTTAAAGGAAGGTGAACATATCGACAGTCAATTGATTCGTCTCCCTACACAATCAAATGATGAATTATCATGGGTTATGAATTATTACTTGTACTTTATTATTGCAATACTTTCTGTGAAATTTGTACCCCTTATTGCATCTAATTTGTACACCATGTATAAATATTCAACTTTCTTCACAGGTAGATGTAGAAAATGATATCATTTTATTCATATTACAATAAGCCTATTTAATAAAAGCAAATGAATTATTTATTTTTTTTTATTGATTCCACTATTTAATAGGAATAACCTAACCTAACCTACACGCTTACATTTATGAATAGCTCAATAATAAAGCACTGCCCGAGGGTTCCGAGTACGAATAAAATGAGTGTTAGTGTGTAAATAGTGCGTTTTACCAACACAAGCTTAATAATAAAGGCCTCTGCAAAGGCTACACATACACACAGACAGAGATATGTAGTACTATAACTGTATCGTTCAAACGAAAACAAAAACGTCGTTCATTATAACACACAAGCATGTCAGCGTCCGAATGCTACAGGACCCTGTATATGAGACACATCCTATATGAAAGAAGGAATTTATCCCAGGGACAATATATCAAGTAATTCGTGTACCATTATAGTGTTCACGATACTTGACTGTGTTATATCTATAGATTGTACACAATGTCTACATTTATCGCAACCCTGACCTACAATAAAAGCTCCCAAATCTGGGTACTCTGCTAGATTCTTTCGCACCGAGTACGCAACGTCCGATTGAATTAGTATATCTACTGTTTTGTAGCTCTATACCTTTATATTATTATTGTTATTAAATAAAGTTTGAGTTCGTTTAATTGACATTAAAAGTTTCTTTTTAAAAATATAAATTTTAAATTTGAATATATAACACTGTTACATGCTTGGGTTATATGTTACGTTTTCTTTATGTAAACAAAGGAGCCCTTGAGAACTTTTTAAGAACAAACAGAATAGCTCAAAACCCCAACGCCAAAACACGACACTGTAGTTGTTCGAAGCACTTTTCGGTAACAAAGTTACCTTCTTCAGGGACTGAAGTAAACTAAACCTAAATGAGAACTAATCCTAATTTATACTGATAGTTGTTAAGGTTCAGTGAACATGACCCGATGCCAACAAGGTAGATGTTCAATGGACCTTAACATCATCATCATAAACGTAATTAAACTAAACTAAATAGCGGAGATCCAGGGATGGGACCGTTGTCATTGTTAAGAACAATTTGTTTATTTTTATAAATGTATAAACTTTCAAAACTGTTTAGTAAACGATTATTCCTAACTTCTTTAACTAACTTAAGGTTATTAATATTAATATTATGTCCATC